GGGCAGCAGCAGCAGAGCCTGGTGCTAGTAGGCAGTGGCCGCTGCTCTGCCACGGAAAGCGCACTGCACCCTGGCTGGCATGGGCTGTGAGCATGCAGGACTAGCCCCACTGGCTGCTAAAGAAGGTGTGCTGAGTTACAGTGGTAAGACTGTGTGGTCTGCGGCTGAATGGAGTTACCTTAATGACAAGTGAACAGGAGAAATATAGCGAGCCAGTGAGTGAAGTGGAGATGGCACCCTAGTTATTTAAAGCCATACTGACCCATGTTTTCAAGTTAATTTGAGGGAGCACCCTGCCTCTCCAGTATTTCCAAATACACACCTCACCCTCTTCAGTTCCCAACATCCTCACTGCCCTCCAATGCCATTCCTTCTTTCACTAATACCCCAGTTCAGTCTCCCTATTCCCCACCCCATGCCTTGTACTTCACAGAACACCTAGCAAGTAGAGAGAGGTGAGGCCCCATCCAGCAGCATTAGGATATGCTTGCTTTCATAGGAATAGGGCTGAAACTACACCTGCAGAAGCAGAGACAAGTTGTTTGCTCTCTATCCGTTGTTTTCTGAATAGAATCATACAGATCTACTGTGACAGATGGCCACAAAGGGTTAAGCAGCCTGCAGGATAAATGACCCAAATTCATCCTTTAAACTAATGACATATTGGTAATGTTTGTGTTTTTGTGTGTTACAGAAATATTGTTACAGGTTAACAATGAAAAAGGAAGTTACTCACCTCATGCAGTAATGACAATTCTTCAAGATGTTTCCCCCCGTGGGTGCTCCACTGTTGGTGTCAGGTTGTCCTGACACTGATCGTAGTTTTTCCTAGCAATAGCTGGTCGGGCCACATAAGCGCCTTTGCACTTCAGACACGAGGCCCAACTCCCGTCAGAGTACACGCCGATTGGCCAGGATCTAAACTGAAGAAGAGGAGGGGAGGAAGGATGGATGATAGAGCACCCACATGACACACATCTCAAAGAACCGTCATTACTGCACAAGGTAACTTACTTTTCTTCAACTGCTGTTCCCCTGGGTCCACTACATAGTGGTAATCAATTAGCTGGTAGATGGGCTTTGGAGTTGACACTTAGCAGTGGAGAGCACTGCATTAGCATATGAAGAGCCCATATCCATCTGTGTCAAAACTGCGTAGTGTCTCAAAAGTGGGGTTGGACAACCATGTGGCTGCACAACAAATGTCATGAAGTGACACACCTAAGGAAGGCTGTGGATATGGAAACAGCTAGTGTGGCGAAAGCCCTCAGGGAAGCAGGAAGTACTCTGCTTTGTAAGGAGTAGCAGTGGGTGATGAATGACACTATAGTTCTGGAAATGTGTTGAGACAAGGGATTCCTGGAGAGCATTCAGCAATTGAGACAAACAATTTGTGAATTGCGGAAGGTACGGGTTCAATCAATATAAAAGAAAGACCTCCAATCAACTGTTCTCTTCTCTTTGAGAAAGTAATTGGAATAAAATCCCTTGCCCTGATATTGTTCAGGCACCCCATCTATGGCTCTGATGTGCAGCAGATGATCTACCTCTTGCTTTAGGAGTTTTTCATGAGAGGGGTTCCTGAAGAGAGGTGGGGAGGTTGGAGGAAGAGAGGAGGGGGATGGTGTATCCACATCTTACAATCTTGAGGACCCATCAGTCCATAGTAGTCACTTCCCATTGTTTGTAAAAAGGGCGCACACAGTGTGGAAGATTGCCTCATAGTTGTGAGGCACTGGTGGATACGAGAGGTTGTGAAGGCCCTCGACCAAACTCTCAAATTTGTTGCTTGGAAGATTATTCTTGAATAATAAGGACCAGCTAGTCTGTGGGATGATGATGAGTCTGGACAGTCTGGGAGATTGTCTGAAGGCCAGAAGAGGAGAGTGCAGGAAATATTTATTTCAGAATGGGGTTCTCCATGGATATAGGTTGTATGTCAATAATACTCTATATGACTTCCGTGTGGGGTGGTAGGTGACAGCCATGGATACGTGTATTGAAATAAGTTCTTGTGGGTCATGTGGATGGCCTGTTCCATGATGTGATCTACTCCACTGGTGGAGTGTCCTTGTTTGGGGAAGGTGGTTTTGTTGGTATTAAGGTGTATATTCTGTGCTTTCTTCTTAGAGCATATGCCTTAAGTCAGGGCTATGCAATAATTTTTAATGGGGGGGCGCTCCATTCAACAATAATTCTGCAGGCTGTAGAGCCTTATCCAAGAAGAGCTTACAGAGATGCAGCTCCCTTTCTCTGCACGCTCTGGCTGTGAGGCTGCAGCAGAGAACATACTTCTGGGGAACATGGGTCTCTCCCAGGCAATGGATGAATAAGGAATGGTCATCTGAGGCCAGCATAAGCTCCCAACAAGTGTTGCACTTCTTAAATCTGGGGAACCTGGCATCGTAGCAAAAAGACTAACTACTGGAGTTGTTCTATGCCAGCTTTGTTCATCTTCCTTCTTTCTCTTCCCTGGCTCTTTTTTTTTTTTTTTTTTAAATAAAGGGGAGATGAAACATCCAAGGCGGCTGCAGTTCAGGCCTATTCCCATTGCATGCTGTTTGTCCGCTCAGTTTCATTTAAAACTATGTACATGAAGAAAAAAACATGTGTTTTTTAGAGTAACTAAAGAACAAACTAAGTAATGAACAGGGAAAATTAACCAACTATAACTATGTTTTCTACCTCTAAGCAGCTGAGGAGAGGGAGAGAGTTTGAGCTCCATCTGTGACCAAGGGCAGTAACGAAGGAACTGAGGGGAGTCAGGCAACTGCACAATGTGCAAAGGCACGAATGGCACAAGGCACCTGTTGCACATGCGCAGCCCTACCAGCTACTGCTAGGAAAAACTCCAATCTGTGATGCCGAGACAACCCAACACCAACAGTGGAGCTCCCATGGGAATATCACTCAAAGAAGATTCAAACAGTTCCCATCCATGCTGTATTCTATTATTTCAGAGATCCAAAAGAGATCTTAACATTTAAGTAGAGTGATACCACTGCATTGGTCTCTCAAGCATATAGCAAATCTCACATGAATGGTGGGAAACAGGCATTTGCCTTATATTAATTAATGTAGTTAATTACCACTGATGTTTAGGAAATAGGTCTACTTCAATGTCTTGGTTGCCTATTGTTCACCTAATGAGTCCCTGCTATCAACAGAAGGCCTGAAACTATATAAATGTGTCTTGAATCCTAATCCTTTTTCTTATCAGATCTGCTTGATGCTCCATGCTGTAGAAGCTTTGAGTCCTAAAACTGAGATTTCCAGTCCCATCTAGATCATCTTGGATCATAACCTATGGATTAATTTTGAAAGAATTCTATGCAGCTACAAAGCTCACCCTCTCTACTATGAAAGTAATCTCAAAATTGGATTCATGTTGGTAGGTATACTGACCTTTTAACCAATGCTCTCTTCTTTTTTAGTTTAGTTAGTAAGAATTGACAGCAAGCCTATTTTTGAGTAAGATGTGAGATATTCATTAACATGGGAGGTAATGTGTTTGATCTTTGGGGATTGGTAGATAAATAAGATTTTCAATAATCATTATTTGATTTGGGGGTCTGAGTGGAAGTCCAAATCTAGGTTGCTTTAAGAAAAGTGCGTTTTTGCTTCTGGGTAACCAAGAAGCTGTTTTGTACTAGTTTGGTAAATCTAATTATTGGAATGTTCACTAGATTTGGGGATTATCCCCCGCCCCATTCTTTATAGTTTGCCCTAATTGAATAATTCAGTGTGGGTCCCCGGTCACACCACCTATCTTCTGCACCTTATCCCAGGAAAGGAGCAAGCACATTACTCCCTCCACAATACTATGTATCACGGAAGGGATAGCTCAGTGGTTTGAGCATTGGCCTGCTAAACCCAGAAGCCTTGCAGAAGCCATTTAGAGATTTGGTGCAAAAATTTGTCAGGGAGGGTACTTGGTCCTGCTGTGAAGGCAGGGGACTGGACTCCATGACCTTTCAAGGTCTCTTCCAGTTGCAGGAGATTGCCTATCTCCATTAATTTTTACCCATAGACTGGGGGGAAATGGGGTACAAAGCCACTGCCTGATCCCCAAACCCTCCCTGCTGAAGAGTCCTGTGATGAATGGTATTGTCCCTTATCCCTGCTGCAGCCACAGCCCGGAGAGAATGGGGCATGACCTTGATATATTACCTATCAGTCACCTATACCCACTGTCTCCACCTCATACAAGCAAGGCTCTATGCCACCTCATCTCTGCACTACTCCAACTCCTGCCATTAGTCACTGGGCCTGGTCGACCCTGCCACTCCCACTGGCATAAGCAAAACATAAGGCAACTATGATATCTAAAAATCTTTGGCATCAACAAATACACCTTGCATAACTATCTCTCTAAGTTATAAACAACAAGTAATCCTGTGGCATTTAAGACACAAATATATAGAGCGAGTATCATGAGCTTTCATGGACAAAAGCTATTTCTTCAGATGAACTTGAGCTAAACATGGAAAGGAAGGGACTTGATTAGAGCTCTGCAAATACACAGATATCCACTTTTTATCTGCAGACCATTTTTGGGGATCACAGATTTAATATGGATACAAATTGCAAATACACGCAGGGTTCTAGACATGATTACTTCCTACTTTTTGAGGGGTGAGACACCAATCAGAAAGTGGTGGAATATTTTGTGGCCCTCAAGTGACATAACCAGAATAATTAGATAAAATTGAGAAATTAAAAATGTGAACTGAATAGCAAGACAACCTTCAAAGAAGATCTATAATTTTAGAAGCATCAATGGAAATCATGTAAGCCATGCTTCAATTTGCAGTAAAATGTTAAAATACAAAGTGAAACATGGAGCTTTTGTAGGATCTAGCTAGCCATATCTCCCTTAAGATGGGAAAATTCTATAGTATGATGGAGTGGATGCTACTGATAAAGGTCATGACAAGTGCAACTAGTGTCACTAGGAGATAATATTCATTTAAAAACTGGAGAAAAATATGAGCTTTGGGATCTCTAATCCTTTAATAGAGAGTTGTCTTCTTGAATGGAATTGGTGGTTGACTAAGACATGATGCACTTGTTGTAAGATCATGACAAACATGAAAATCAGTAAGTTCACCAGTTTGAGAGGGAACAGGAAGTACTGCAGGGAAATTGTATGATACCAGTTTGTCCTAAAATAAGTTAAGTGGAACGGTAAATTAAATCTTATTCAATTCAATAAATACAAATAAGTTTCTAACATCTAATTCAATCAGTTTAAAGCAGTGGTTTTCAAACTATCTGACTCAGTACTGGGTCGCAATGTCAGGCACTGGGTCTCATTGCTGCAGAGTAATCAGTGCCTGCCTGTCCTGGCACCGCAGACTGCGCTGTGCCCCAGAAGTGGCCAGCAATCGGACTGGCTCCTAGTGGGAGGCAGGCTCTTCACACTGCCCCAAGAGTTAGTTCCACACTCCCATTGTCTGCGAATCTGTTACTGGCTGCTTCTGGGGTGCAGCATGGTCTGTGGTGCCAGGAAAGCATGACTCTGCACTCCTGCTGCACCGCTGATCAGGAGCCACTCAAGGTAAGCTCTTCCTGCCCCAACCCTGACCCTCCTCCCACACCCCAAAGCTCTCATCCTCAGCCCCACCCTAGAGCCTTTAGTCAAATTATGTTAGGTCATGGACATCAACAATTTTTTTTCAACAGGGTCACGAGAAAAAAAAAAAGTTTGAAAACTACTGGGTTAAAGCAGTGGAAATTTCCATATTTTTTGTCTGTTTTTTTCAAGGCCCATCCAGCAAAGTCATTTACTCACTAGAATTCAATATTCTTTTGCTTCATAAATGTTATAAACATATTAAACTGGACAAACTGTCAATTAATTGATAATTGTTCATTATTCAGGTACATAAATCAGCATGTGCATTGCCTATTACATCCATTTTAGATAATACAGTTATATACTGTTTTTAGTGTTATGATAATTCTTTATGGCATTAAAGATTATTTCTATATAAATTCTTTTACTAATGAATCAATTTCTAGTAACAGGCATAGCAAAAAAGAAATCAAGACATCAGTTGGGTTCAACTAGTTGTTACAATAAATACCAAACAAATAAAGACTGCCAAACAATTAGGTTAACATTTGATTTACCTGGCAAGCTCCATGCCGTGAAATTCATAATCAAACATTCTTTACAGGGAGAAGACTACCTATTCAAGTAAAGATGGTATTTGTAAAGTACTCATTTATATCTCTTTCAGCAAGATCACAAAGTGCTTTCATTTAGTGACCCACAGAAGAAAAATAGTTGGTTTTGTGTCTTACTGTTTTATGATATATAAAGAAGACATAATTAGGTTTCCTTTTTAATGTTAGAAGCACCAGGAATGTCAACCAGTTTTCTGGTATTCCAGTAGGACTCAGATGTCTTAGATAAGAACTATAAACTCTCTAAGCTCTCAGCTCAGGGGCAGCACTGTTGCATCTTTAATAACTGCTTTTCTCCCAACTTGTTTATTCAAGCAGTTAAAAATATCAGTTGTAAAAAGTTTGAAAGTGTCTATATAAAAATAATTTATTGGTATTAGCAGGCTTTCCTTATATGTTTTAAGTCTTCTTTGTACATCACAAAGAAACAAATAAGACAACACCAATCCAATTTTCTTTGCAGGTCATCTTTAAAGTTACTTAATTTTGGTAAGCCATCACAGTTTTTACAACTGGCTGTATAAGGCAGTGTCTACATTACAAGGTCTATGGGGCATAACTACAGCACCACAGTTTTGCCAACATACCTCCATAACATAGACATAGCCTACAACATGAGAAAGGGTTTTTCCACTACTGCAGAAACACCATCTCTCCAAGTGATAGAAAGTACGGTTGATGGAAACATTCTTCTAGCAATCTAGTTATATCCTCACCAAAGATCAGGTAGGGAATGCTAGGGTGCTCAGGTGCTGACGCTGCTACATATCATAGGTACACTGACCTAAACTTTAAGTACGGACCACACCTGAATGTTGTAAACTGATTTTCAAACTGCAGATCTGATGGAATGGCAGCACTTTAAACAGCATAAATGAACTAGTTTACTAAGTCTTTATTTGAAACAACTATTGTAAAGAAAAACAAACTGCAAAAGAACAAAAAGTTGAACGCCCTGTGTTCTACAGGTAGGACTATGTGCACCAGCAGTGCTGTTATCAATTCTCACTCATTTGCTGTCATCTACAGCCATAAGCAGAAATGCCTAAGACAAGACAGTTTTCAAAACCTGATTTAAAAAACTAAAATGAGAGTCCATAAAAAAACAGAAGTTAGATGTGTGACCTTTTGAGTCAGATAAGATTTTCAGCTGGATTTGCATCTAGCTCTGATGTAAGTACAGTATTAGGAGGGGGCCTTACTATTGTTTAAATATTTAATATGGGACTATTAAAGTAGTATATTGATGATCACTCCAGTCTAGAATATTATTTGTCATTTAAATGCCTTAATAATATCTCCATCATCACCACAGTCTACTTCAAATTACCTAATAAGAGTCTGGAAATCATGTCAGTTCTTCAGTAGAAATGCACAAAAGCAGGAAAAAAAACACAAGCTACCTGAAGCATATGCTATCAATCTTTTCATGGTGGCACAGTATGCTATGTAACCCAAAATACTCAGACTATGCAAATTACTCCAGCTTGCACAGTCAACATTTTAGAGAATAATATCTTAAAACATTATCTAAATCAGCAAAATCTAGGTACTGTTTTAAACTGTGACTTTTGATATGTAGTCAAATATTGTGCGCCTCTTAAAAGTTCCTTTGTGTTACTTTTGTTTTCTAGTCTGCTTGGGAACGATCCAGAGATGAAGAGCCCAGAACATCAAGCAGCATCCATTATCCATGCATACCATGACTTTTATACTAGCTACCATTTTCTGTAGTAGTGTCTGTTAGTGGTTTTACAGAATTATAATGCTCTCCTAATCCATATGCGTATCTCATATACCTTTAAAAAAAAAAAACAATATTAGAAAATTGACCCATACATTAACATGTCTACTTTCTATTTTCAGATAGTTTGAAGACATTCGATTAAAAGTTAAAGACAGCATAGAAAAATGTATTATCATGGAAACTATGTCAGAAGTTTGGCTGCATGTTTTCATGGGGGAAGGAGTGGTTTTTTTAGTTTTGATGGTAATGACAAAATCCTACACACATCATTAATGGAGCTTTTATATAGAGTAATAAATTAAATACATTTATCTTTATAATTGTGAATAAAATACCTTTTGTTGAACAACTGAAGGCTGTTAAATAGTAGTCAGCTGACAAAACAGTGATAGATGTGTGACTGAGCTTCTTTTGTTTCCTAACCTGATTTACTGATGGCTATTTTGCATGTATTTTTAAGACAACTGATTCTGTAACATACTGTAACAGTTATTCTGTAACAGTCAGAAAGAGTAGATGAAATATTTCAGTCACCATCAGTTCTTGAATATTCTCCCGTGATGAAAAAAAAATGAATAAAAAAAATAGGAGTAAAATATCTACTTACACAAGTATTAATGGTTTGCTTGAATATTCTTCACCAACAGTAATGGGAGGAGAATCCATTTGCACAACTTCAATTGGTTTTTGCAAAATGTGTGACAGAGCCCGTAGCTTTAAGAGAAGAAAACAATATACTGAGAAGTATAATTAAATAAAATTAAGTATTTTTCATTGTACCACACAGATCATTAGGTCAGTTTAGGCCTTAAAATTGAGGGACTTTTATAGACGCAAGATTTTATAAAACCTATGCAAAATTCCAGTGGTTATTTTTTAAATTCAAATGAAAGATTTATATTAATTATCTCTTGCTTTGTCGATAAAAGTAATGTAGCACTGTGCTAGCAGAATTCAAGACAGCAACGAGTCTATTTTCCACACTAACGCAGAATGATATACAAAAATAGAGCTTAAGTGCTAAAAAGTTTATTTCAGTTTTAATTATAAATCTCACTCTAATTACTTAGTGGTATAATAGCTTGCTGTACTACAGTACAAGTCAACAAGCTGAAGTATGTTGACCCTCTTTAAACATAGAAAAACCAACTTTCC